GATACGGCTCAAGCAATGCCTTGACTCAGATAAGGAAATACATAGAATACTTATGATGTGATATCATTCATTTGATATGAATGATAATGGGGAACATCGACGTCTGCACTCACAGTGCCGCGGAGGCGCGGACTGCTACGTAGATTGTTACTGTTGAATCGGTTACTTATAGTTTGGACAAGATTTTAAGTAAGCTTTCTTAACGCTAATGTTATAATAGTCAGATTGCTCTGAAGATGGGAGGTGATATTCTATTCATTTTCACGTTCACACAGTCGGTTATTTTTGCCGGCCGTCTTTCCTGCAACGGCAGTTTAAACTGTATTTCCTTTCTCCTGTAATATGACTTGATCGCCTTAACTCTGCATACTGAGCTCTGATTGGTCAGCAGGTGGTGCTTTCACTGAGTTGATCTCTTACGGCCCCTACACACGGCGGCGTGCGTTGCCGCTTCAACGCTTCTGCCCATTCACTTTGAATGGGGTGACGTCACGATTCGCCGACCTGCATTGTGGGAGCAAAGACGTAGCTCCTCTCGCGGTGCTCGCTGCAAAAGTAGAGCAATGTTCTACTTTTGACGCCTCGATGGAGGCGTCAGCCAATCGAATCATATGCCAGTAAGCTCTAGCCAATCAAACCGCGTGCTTGTGTGTCTGGGGCGGGAGATTCATGTGATTGGTTGTTGGTCGAGTTTTAGCCCCCCCCTGCCGGCAAGCGACAACGCACGCCGCCGTGTAGTGGCCGTTACGGCCCCTCTACACAGCAGCTTTAAAAAAAATCTTCCAACGCTTCTCTGCCCATTCACTTTGAATGGGGTGACGTCAGTTTGCCTCGCTTTTCGCCAAACTGCATTGTGGAGAAGCAAAGCGAAGATTTCCAGGATTTCCAGGATTTTCAGGATTCAAAAGTTGAGCAATGTTCAACTTTTGAAGCTGAGGTGGAAGCGTCAGCCAATCAAATCCCGCTTATGCAAATCTGACAGTACAAGCGCTAGCCAATCAAACCGCGTGTAAGCTGGGAGAGACATACCGCAGTTCATTTCCTCATATTCCAAACGAGAAATTACGGTAGCAAATCACCCGGTTCTTTACGACCAGACTATTTACCGGGATACAAACCGGAGGAACGAGGCATGGAGGGAGGTGGCAGAGACAGTGGGTGAAACTGGTAGGTTTTCGCCTGTTTGGGGATTTTATATCCAGTTTACTTTGTTTTAACATTGCTATTGCTTTGTATGTCGGGGCGGGAGATTCATGTGATTGGTTGTTGGTCACGTTGCTCGCAAAAAATCCCCAGGCTTTCAGACACGCCCACCTCCAAGATTTTCAAGATTTTTTCAAAGCTGCTGTGTGGACGGGCCGTTAGCCTGCAACCTAACCTGCTCCGGACCAGGCTAGCCGTTCAGCATAAGTTACCACGGCGATCTAGCCCGCTAAAAAGAGAACCAGCGTCGTAGGACGGGAAACCCAGAATTTTCCCTGAAGTTAGCTCGCTAAACGAAAATCCGGCTTACAGGCCTCTGGTCTCTCTTGAAAAAGAGATCCTTAACTTCAACAGGGCTTTCCTGTTAAAAACTAACAAGGGAATTAATAGATATTCATGATTTAAAGTGTGCATTTTAAAATTTGAATACTTTGTCAATAAATAGATATTTCTGTAGAGTGTTTTGCAGCTGTTTCCATGAGGGTAAGAGGTCAAGTCCATTGAAGTGCAGTAGGTTAAGTGAAAATCTGGCAACACAAAATCCATTAAAGGGGACCTATCATGCAAAATGCACTTTTTGATGTCTTTTATACGTAAATATGTGTCAGGGAACTCACGCAGCGTCAGCAAATAAAACCCTCTCTCTTTTCCTCCGTACCCAAATCTCTAAAAACGGGGGTACAACGGAGCTGATCCAGATTTACGTACGATATATGACGTAATATTGGAAATGTGGACCCACGCCACTATCAGAAAGTTGCTATCAGAAACAATGCCCGACTGTTTTTGACGTAATATGGTCTGTGTTTACATTAGCATCGCTAACACTCAGAGCTAACCTGTACTGGAGAGCATGTGTGTGAAGAAGCAGGAAATAAAAAGGAACTCACCTTGTGGTATAACCGGCAAGAGAGAAAGCCTTTGAGATCCATACTGTTTCAGAAATAATCCTTGATAATCCATGATATGGCGTTTCATCACCGCAGTATTTAGTTTAGACAGTAGCTGCCGGATCCCGCATGAGCTCAGTCCCCTCCTTTTTTCTTTTTTAAAGCTTTATACATAAAATCAGCACTTTTGAAACAGGAAGTGAAATAGAGGGATATATGAGGCATGGCTAGAATGGGTGATCTGTTTGATATTTTGAGCAAAACACTTCATAGACATGTTTTGCATATATTTTTATATATCTGAGACCTATGCTATTGCCTAAAAATAGCATGATAGGTGACCTTTAAAATGATTGCCTTATGACCGATCTATAAAGCATAACTAAATATTCTAGTAACCATTATACAGTAAAGGCACAAGTCACAACTTATAAACACATAACAGAAGTGGCCTTTTGGTACTTGTTTGAGGTGCACATTTGAGACTACTGGAGTGAAAATCAAAACTTAGTGATTGGAAATACTGCTACACACAGTTTTTTTGTTGTATACTATAGATATATTGGGACAAACAATGCCAGCGGTGGTTATACAGATGAAACTGTGTTGGTAATGTTGAAATGCTTTTTTTTTCTTCTGCGGTTTCTTGCTGTGTTCTCATCCAGCATGTCCTTCAAGTCATCCGAGATACAGTAAGTCCTAACAGCTGCAGTGGTGCTGGTTTGGTTTTCTTTTTTTATCACGTTTGCCATTATTGCATCAAACTATATATCTGGCTGTGAATGATTGAAACTTGCAGTACATTGAATGCCACAAATCATTGTTCTTCTGGGTGACTTTATCTTTTGTTATGGATTGTCTGGAAACTCTATTCTACACTTCCCATCATGGCGTCTCTGTTAACGTTGTGTTTCTCGTGTTTATGTGTCTTTTCCTCTTAGGTCTCCCTCCTCCTTCTGCCATCGGCAAGAGAGTTCTACGGACTAGAGGCAAGCAGAGACTCTTAAGCCATCATCACATTCACTCCCTAGTGCTTCATTAAGTATATGCTGTTTTAACCCTCACTTTAAAGTTGCTCTGATGTAATTTAAGAATCAAACATTCTCCATGCTTTACCTATTATGGTCCTGATTCTCACTACCACAAACCATTCATACATTTTCAGAATTCAAAATAGGTAAAAAGATGAGAAAAATAGAACAGCCAGTTTGTTCACTGTTGCTTTTGGACAAAAGAAACCGCACCAAATTTAATTAACTTAAATTCAAAACGCCTAATTTGTCCCCAGGGGTAAAATTTGTAGCAACACGTAGAGTTAAACATTAGAATAAAACACAATATTAATACACATTCACATGAAAAAACATCAAAAAATTTGAATTTGAATGATGTGTAAAGTTGTTTTTTAGACATAGTTAGTGTCCCTAATATTGTATCCACCCCTGTTAACTTCAGTTAATTTGTACTCAATAAAATATGTTGGATATCCCACACAAGTCTGCTTTGCATTTAGTTGTATTGTATTCTATTGTTTGTTTCTGTGTTCTATTTAGGTGGTTTTCGTCCAATCAAATCAAGCCCTGCAGGAGTCCTCGCTGATGTCACTGCTCAGGAAAGCTCTGACTGGTTGGAGATGATTTGGAATTTTGCAGTCAGTTTGGTAGCCCCTGATGATGAGGAGGAAGGTATTCACCAGCTTACTGAAACCCTCACATGTAAGAAAATCGCCTCATGCTAATTTACCATTTCATGTCTAACTAATATCGTGAATAAAATGATTATCCTGCCTTACATCTTATTCAGGACATGGCATTTACATGCACCAAATCATGATTGAAATTAGTTATATAGAAAGACTATAAATCAGCATGGAAATACATTGAAAATCAAAGTTTATGCTCATCAAGATAATCCAAACTCACTATATAATAATCCAAACTCACTATATAATGTCAATAATGAAGCAGTCTTCATCACTAACAGAGTTATAATGAATTTGACGCCGCTCATGTTAAATTGGGAAAATACATTAAGCAGAAAATAAACCTTGTATCTCGTCTTCCTTCTTTAATTAACAGAACCAACAGCCCATTAAAATGTCTGCTAATTCACTGGAACTGAAGTGCTTTTTATTTCACAACAGCATTTAATGGATGCTCTCATTAAGATTGAGTAGGTAGTAAGTCAGAGAGTTTTTGTTTTATAAATATTAGAAAAAGTACATCTACAGAGTTTCAAGGTAAAAACAACAGCAGAAAGACAGACTGTTTTTATGCTGGCAGCATATACTGCTTGCCAGGTACTATCAAAAATAAATTGCAGTTTTTGTGTTTAAACAGAGAAACTACAAGTGAATATGGTAAATATTTTACCCAAAATATATCACTTTTAAACTCTCTCAGTTGTATACTGACATTTAAGCAATATTTAAGCTGTATGCAATGTTATGTTTTTGTATTCTAATGAGGGATTGTCTGCAACAAGAGTTAGAACATTGGATAATTCCAGGTTCAAATATCTTGTTTGACATATTCGAATAAATAGTTTTCACAGAGGAAATTTGGTTTACATGCCTTTTCAAATATTATATTTAAATATGCAAATGAGGCATTATCGAGTGCTTACTCACGGAAGAGGATTAGGGCCAGATTTTAAAAAAAAATTGTTCTGAGAAAAAAGTCAGAATTCTGACTTTAATCTCAGAATTCTGACTTTTTCCTCAGAACAAAAAAACATAATTTTTTGGGGAGAAAAAAGTCAGAATTCTTACTTTAAAGTCAGAATTCTGAGATTAAAGTCAGAATTCTGATTTTTTTCTCAGAACAAAATATATATATCTTTTTAAATCCTCACAATTTTTTTTTTAATGTGGCCCTAATCCTCTTCCGTACTTACTCCTGGTAAATTAAGGGGAAAAATTGAAAAGTAGATATAAAAAGATGATATAAACATGGGTATTTTCAATTAGAAAAGCTAAATAGACCAAACTCTCAAAATTGACCAGTGCATAAATGAAAATGTTTTTTGCTCGTAGCGTCTCATCTTAATATTTATTCTAGCAATAACTTGGAATAATAAGCACCTAATTTTGTCCTCTGGCCTTCAGCTTTCCACTCTGAGGAGCTGTGAACAAGATGACTGTGGAGAGAGGAAGAGTATGCAGAGCCGGAGAGAGGAAGAGAGGGCAAAAGAGACAAGTGTCTGATTGAAATTGAAGAGAGGACGTGAAGACACCGGAAGAGGATGAGGAGGATGTATAGTTTATAACAATGATGTTTCTCTCTGTCTGTCTATAGTTAACAGGAATTTGATGAATAAAAACTTTGAAACCATAGCCTTTGTTTAATTGAATTATTGGTATAACAGAATGATCTTCAACAATATATTTTCTATAATTTTCTTTTAAAAGATTCTCATATTTTTTAATTAGTAGTATCATAATAGATACAATTGAAACATTTTCTCCAAGTTTTCCATAATTTTACAAGTGTTATCATTGGAGCCACACAAGTGACAAAATAATAGAAATGTAAAAAAGTCCTTTATTCTATATTGAAAAAGAGTTAACAGAAAACATTTTAAAGAACTATATGATCTATTGAATTACACTACATTTACTTTTTCAATAAAAAGGTAATTTCTTGATTTTTATAATATTGTTTAGATTGTGCATATGCAGAAAAAAACAGATATACTGTGAATCATCAAACGCACAAAATTACGCACAACTTGTTTTTGTAACTAAGTACTTTGCATTGACTTATATTCATTACCAGAGACTTTAATCTTAACCTAATTAATCAATGGGACACATACACATGATTTTACACATCATTTGTAGGTTTTCCTTTGCATAAGGGCCTTTTTGTAATAGAATCACACACAGTGGCACCCCTACATTTCCCCCTCTTCTTGTACAGTATTTCCTTCATGCACAGGAGGAGGTAGTCTGAATTCGAGATGAGCAATGACAATAACAAGCCCCCAAGACAACAGCAGGCAAGTGATGAGGTACAGTAGCAGCAATAAACCTGCTGGTGCAACAAGAGAAATGGTTTTGCCAGAAGGAGGCCGACAGGGAAGAGATAAGGATCAACCGGCCTGTGGTGGGCCCCTGCGGCATCAGAACCCGTGACTCCAAGAGGGAGCATGAATATTCGAAGTGGATGGTGGTGGGCGACAGAGAGAAAATACCGAACCGCAAATACATAATTCTTCTTGAGATAAAGAGGGCAGTGTGACCCGCAGTTAAAAGAAAACAGGGCTGAATAAAAGAGGTGAGAGCATAAGAAAAATTGGCTGTTAGTCTGAGCATGAGATCACCAGCAAGATATATGAATACCTCATGTATTGTAACCTCTATAATCCAGAGTAAAACCACGCATTCGATATAATAAGCAGACTTCAAAAAAAGGGGGGGGGAACTACTGCATTGAAAGTCTTGTATCAAAATTAATACTCAGGTAGTAGTATGTAGTAGTATTTAAATATATATTTTAAGAAAGTAAAGGAACGGTCAATGTTAAATAACTGTAGTTGGTGGTGAAAAGGAACAATATTTTACACTGAATTGTGATAGAGAAGTATGAAGTAGCATAATATAGTCGAGTATAATATAGAAAAGCCAAGTGCTCAAAATGTGATTGTTAAAGTACTGTACTCAAGTGAATGCAACAAGTTACTTAATGGAGAAATTAAACATGAAAACAGGTGTAGAATGCGACAAATCAAGCGTTACTATCATAATGAGGTTGGTGTTTGGGATTTAACTGTCTTGAAACCGATTTTATTATTTGATTTGGTGTACTTCTTCTTTGCATGTACAGTAAACAGAAAGGGTTAGAAACAGCTTTGAATTGTCTTCATTTCCTAAACAAATGTGTAGTTGCATCTGCATTTTCTTTTTCTGATACTCATCTTCATTTTCTTTTTCTGATACTCATCTTCATTTTCAGCCTCTAATGGAGCACTTTAAAAGACCTATTTATAAGATGTAAATATGAATACATTAATGTTAAATTAAAAAGAGTCTACAGGCAATCAGTATTGTGGGAATTGTGTTTCTGGGGTAATGAAATTGTCATGAAATTAAAATTAAAGCATAATGAAATCACTTAATTACAGCTCTAATGGATTTATCTAAATGGAAGTGAACATATCGCAGACTTTCCGTATGACTGTATGGGGAGTTGAATCTGTTAATTACATTACATTACCGATTCAGGCTGCTCAGCAAGATATATTATTTTAAAAATAATCACAAACATCATCCTGGAAACACCATTCAAAATGTTTTACATACAAACAGAATGGTCAGATAACAGGACTGAAAACCTGTTAAAAAATGTACAGCAGCTCAGACTTGAAGATACAAATACTTTGCATAAGCTTATTCTTTTTTAATGGAGATGAAAATTAAAAGGGCCTTTGATTTGTCAAAACAAACACAGCATCATCTCTAATGCACACTTACATGTCTCATCATTATTCAGCAAATGTCGACCATTTACAGTTTGGGAATGGTTGGTTAAGGAGCTAAGGAGTATACAGACCTTGTTTTACCACAACATTATATGTAAAATTATGAATGATTTTGTATTCAAACTGTTGTTGTTTGACCATGCCACAACATTAAACTAAGAAAATTGCGAGACATTTTTTTTGACATTTGGGAAAACAAGAAAATTAGGTTTTTGGAAAGTAGTTTGTTGAGAAGAACGATAATACCACTTGATAGCACTCTCATGTCTTAAAGTCCCCCCGTAGGTGGTTAAAGTCCCTCACGTGTGCCATTTTGGTTTCAAGAGCCTGGTTCGCGGAGGATATTGGTTTTATCAGTAGATTGACAGTGGATAAGAGAGGCGCCAGGTTTGTGTGGTCATCATTACACATGACCATGAAGGTTTCTGTTGAAGATGTATCCACAAGTGTGGATGATCTTACTGGGCAGGACGTGCTGGTAGAATTATAACTCAGCTGACCTGGAAAAGATGTAAATGTTATTCGATTTCATCAACATAATAATGTGATGGGGTAAAGCGGTTAATCTTTGAATAATTGACAAAAAAATACTGGGACACACGCACACACACCTGCCTTTAGATTCCTGGCAGTAAAAACCATGAATAATGGATCTGCGTTTTCCTGGCCTGAGGGAAAAGCTTTTAAACATAATTTGTTGCTTTAATTTATTTACACAACCTGGCAACCCTGGCCCTCAGGCTAGATGCATTACACACAACTGCACCAACCTGGAGGCACATGCACACATATTCTCACACAAACACACACATAGACACACACACAGGAAAAAGTACATATGCAGCAAGTATGACACACATTTTGGTATGTCTTTTATTCAAATGACATCTCACAGAAAATATGTCTGCTTTACACATTCACAAGAGAACATATACATGTTAAATATTTTATAATATGTCACATCAGTCTGCTACAGCCCCAACGAAACCATTTATCTTTCATAAATTCATTTTCCTAAACTTTTATTTGCTGTTGTTTATTCAACAGATAGCGTATTGACTTATTTGTCACAGCGACAGTAAAGTGAATTAGATTAATGTTGCAATAAGAGTTGATCCAAAAAATGTAAGGATTAAAACCAGCAAAATTCTGATTATAAGATTACATAAAATAGTGAGACTGACGCTAGAAGCCATTTTAGTTATATATATTTGATGTAGTTCATATCCATATGTATGTATGTATGTGCAGTGTCAGTATTAGTCAGTAGAGAACATTGCATCTGGAACGGCAGCTGCTCTTGCATTTTATTTGTATAAAGTATGAGAATGCAACTTTGATTTAATGTTGTTTTACAATATCTGTATAAAAGTGCATTGCATTTGTCAAAACCTGCCACAAAACACGATTAAGGAATAATGTTTATTACAGAATTATACTATGGCATGTAAAAAATATCGCAAGTTACAAAACTGTGATGGAAGCTGCACTAATTATCCAAAAAGCAAGCAGCATACTTCCTCCTCTTCTTCGTCTGGGTTGCCAGAATCAGTTCTTAACAAGACAAGGGTAGACATCAGCAGCTGTTGAGCGTTGGTTGGGATGCCAGGTCCCTACTGTTGTCAGAGCAGCGTAACATGTAGCAGTTTGCTAACTTCAGATGGGTGGTTTAGATTCAGTTTCAATTTAATGTATATGTATACTGTATGTATATGTATATTTTTATGTATATGTCATGTGAATAAAAATGGTCACAATTGTACATGCAGGACATATCATGAAACCACATAGGCCAATACTTATGGTTCAATTTGAAAGAGCAACCCTGTTTAATTTCCTCCATCTCGGGCGTCCTTTAAACCAAAAACTAATTTCAGGATCAGCAGTGCCGCCAATCTTCGATTTCACTCACCCCTTGATGAGTTTCTTGTTGCCAAAAGTCCAGAGTGTGTTTACAGATGGTACTTATGGCATTTTCCCGTGATCCCGTAGTTGTATAATCACAATAAGCTGTCTACTGTATATGCAACTTCCTATCCCCAACATAATCCTTTAGGTCTTAATATTAGATAGAAATCAGACACTGAGCACAAGAGCATATATTTGACTGGATTATGATTTTGCGGGGTCCACCACGCTGGCCAGTGTTAGAGCAGAAACATGGACATAGTAACATAGTGATTTCGGTACCACTTTACAATAAGACTACCCTTATACAGGGTTTATGAATAGTTTGTAATTAAGCCGGTAATAATTACTAAATATTTCACAAAGTGTTGGAT